TCAACGAACTCGCGTTGATATCATATTAAAAGTTATGACACATGTGAGTGGCTGATTTTGCATTAATTTCATATGCGAAATCTTTTCGATAACTTGCTTGAGAAAGCGCAAGAAAGAGACAACAAGGCGAAAGAGAGAGTGAAAAGGCAATTGATTGAGAGTCTAATGAATATATCACAAGCCTCGAGCGTTGCCATCCAAATATATTGGAATGCGCATGCAAATATGTACATATGTATATATACACATACGTATATACATGCTACACATACGTATATATAGTATAGTATTTTTAGTTACTCTATATAAATAGTTTTATTACTTACACAAAACCTGAAAGCAACAACAACATTGGAGTCAGCGATATTATTATCATTGCTTAGCGGGGATTTTTTATTCTTCAAAGTTCTTGATATTGGGAATTCGTCATATAAATAATTCATGATAATTGCTATTAAAACAGTTAGTTCTGTTTAGCTAATCAAAAAAATTGTATACAACAGAGTGAGAGAATGAGAGGGAGAGAAAGAGGGACAGGTATAGAGGAGAGAGAAAACTAGGTGAATGACAGAATGAGTCAATAATAAAATACAATGAGAAAGTGTGGGAGAAAGAGAGCGGCAGAGACAGAGATGCAGAGAGAGAGAGAAAGAGAGAGAGAAAGAAAGCGAGAGAGGCGAGATAAAGAGAGAAAGAGACAGTAAATGAGCTAGAGAGACAGAGAAAAAGAGATTGTGAAAAAGAGAGTGGAAGAGGGGGAGAGTGTGTGGAAGAGATTGGAATGGAGAGAAAGAGAGGAAGATTTTCGGAAGTATGGAAACAGACAGAATGAGAATAAGACAGATAGTAGGAAATAGAGAGAGTTATAGAGAATGAGAAAAAATTAGAGACAATGCGAGAAAGAAAGAAAGAAAGAGTGAAAGAACATGAAATAAAATGAAGGGACTGAGAGCAAGATCAAAGACAGAGTAAGAGAGAATAGGACTCAGGCTGAAGAACACAGAGGGAATGAATGTGAAAATGAAGTGAAAGCTTAAGAGACAGATAAAAGGTATGAGAGATTTAGAGATACAGAGAAAGAGAGTGATGCAGAGAGAGAGAGAGAGAGAGAGATGCAGAGAGAGAGAAAGATATGTAGAGAGAAATAGAAAAAACTTAGGCATGTGCAAGAGAGGAGGAGACCGAAAGAGATAAAATTACATTCTAAGCTAACATAAGCTATGCATCATATGATTGCACATACACCAAGCCGCACTCACACACACACACATGCAAAGATCGAAAAGCTAGTTCAAGTTCAGCTCAGTTCAGTTTGTTCAGCTTTGATTCATTCCTCAACTGAAGTTTCTAGCTCAGAGCAGAGTATTACGTGTGCTGTGTACTCAGCTTGTGGCACTTTTGTGTAGTTCTCGTTGTTCTTCTTCTTCTGCTTCTTCTTGCTGAGCTTACCCACTACGCAATTCCATTCAGGCGCGCTGCTAACCGATCCGATCAGTTCGTATCGTTTCGTTCGACGTCGTCGGTCGGCAACGTCTTTTCTTTCATAAATCAAAGCGCATAACTGCCGGCCGGGGCCTGGGGGCGGTGGCGCTATAAAAAGTGGAGAGCGGCAACCTGAGCTAGTCGCCAGCGGTCAGGGGCGGGGCGGGGCGGTGCGCCGTGGGGCGGCGGGTAGAGCGGATAGAGCGGGACGCAAGGTGTTTGGGGTGCTTTTGTTTTGAATTTGAATTTTTTGGCAAAAATTACGCTACAATTTCAAGTATCTTTCACTGTATTGGCGCAACGGATGACGGGGTAGGCGTGGTGGGTGGGTTATAGCCACACACACACACACATACAGGTATGTAGTCACATGGAGCGGCGCTAGGCACGAGCTGGTACCTGTTTATTGTAGTCGCTTTTGACTCTGCCTTTTTCTTGTATTTATTTTAATTTTTAATTTTCGGCATTTTTTTTTTCTTTTTTGTTTTATTTGGTCAATTTTTTCTTGTTTTTTAAATATATATGTTGTATTGTTTATTTATAAATTTTTTGTGTGTGTAGCTACATACTTTTCTTCTCGCGTTTGGCATTTATTTGTTTTTGTTTATCAAGCGTGGGCTTTGTGTGCCGTTATTTTCGCCTTTCTAAGCGTAAATTCCATACAAGTGAAAGCCAGCGGGGGCGGTGGGAGGGCAAAAGGTGGGCGAGTCAATGATGAGCGGCGAATTTATATACTTGTCAGAATTGTTGCCACCATTTGTGGCATATGTGCGAGTGCGAGTGAGTCAACAAAGCTTCAAATCTTATTTACTTGAAGATTTCAAAAATGTGGGAATTTGGTAAATTTGCAGCACTTAACGTTCCAGGGAAGGGGTTTTGTTAAGATGTGTGTAAGAGGCGCTAGAAGGCGTGGCAAAGGTCATAAACTATGCCTGTTATTGAGCAGGACGAGCTGATTGAATGTAGCTAGATTTGCATTTCCTCCGTCTGATCCAAAGAGACCTGAAGCTGTAGGTTTATCCATCAAAATTATAAGCTGTACGAGCTGACTCATTCTGATTATGACTTATGACCGATAAAAATTGATAGATCAACATCGGTTTTTAGGACCTGTAAAGCACAAGAATGTGAAGACTTCCCTAAGCTCGTGTGATGAATACTGAAATTTCGAATATATTGGATTTGGGTTACTTTAATCTCTATACCACCAAATTTGAGAAAAGCTTCAATTTTTTAATAAAAGGTAGATAGTCTATTTCAGCAAATACAAATTGTCAGTAATACATTCCAAAAAATTTATGAAAAAAGTTTAACTGAAGCAATAGTTATTCTATAATTCATTTCCCATGGTAAAGTCTTTAAGCACCGTCCAAGAGAGCTAACCCAAGACAACTTGTATATGTATGTTCATTTGCATAAGTCAGAGCTAACACACTTGCTATTACTACTACTACTATGCTATTCTACTACTACTATTACTACTTCTACTATGCTATTCTACTACTACTATAACTACTATTACTATGCTATTCTACTACTATTATTACTACTACTACTATGCTATTCTACTACTATTATTACTACTACTACTATGCTTTTCTACTACTACTATTACTACTACTACTATGCTATTCTACTACTACTATTACTACTACTACTATGCTATTCTTCTACTACTATTACTACTACTACTATGCTATTGTACTACTACTATTACTACTATTACTATGCTATTCTACTACTATTATTACTACTACTACTATGTTATTTTACTACTACTATTACTACTACTACTATGCTATTCTACTACTACTATTACTACTACTACTACTATTACTATGCTATTCAACAAACACATAATGCTCAGGGCTCGCGGTATCTCCCAGTCGGGCAGACCCGCACAAACTCACCAAGACGATGTTCTACCCTTTAAAAAGTACTATTTCATGAGACGATGTCAGTTCATTAAGTCAGTAAATTCTCTATATGTGAATATATTTAGTATGTAGTATTTGGTATTTAGTATATACTATATACTGTATGAACTCTATTTGACTTGCTCCTCATGCAATCATAGTAGCCCTATAAACACTTTGTTATATGAATTCGATTTGAAATTGTGTGAACTGCAGTAGCCCGATAGATGTCAAGCATACACATACAAGTAGGTATTTCGAAGTGTATAAAAATATAAAATAAAATTTTCATAACGTTTTAAGTATTTGTCAATGTTGTATATTGTCGATATGTGTTTAACCGTAAATAGCTAAATAAATTTTCCGTATAATTCGCGCCGTTTTTATCAATATCCAAATTCAATTGTTCAATATCAAAATTCTGTAATGTGATTGCATCAAATCGAAGCGAATCGTAATTTGTGAGGAAGCAATATCAAACGACTATTGCTTCGAATCCTCGCGCAACAAAGCGAGAGAGGACGCGCGCGAGAGAGACCGGGACAAGGACAGGCATAGGCAAAGGGCCAGGCAAAGAGTGAGAGAGAGAGAGAGAGAGCGATAGAGTCTTACTGACCGAGAGCAAGAGCGAGTCAATTGCCAAGCAAAGCAAAGCGAAAGCGAAAGCGAAGAAGCTCTTGACGCACTGTAAGAATTGCCCAGTTTGTACACGTTGATTATGTGCGCACGGCCAGGTGAAGAACACGTGCACAATTAACAACAACAACGGCAGCAACAACAACTGCAACAACTGCAATTGCAACTTGTCGAGCGCGGCATGCGCAACGATTAAGCATTGCTCTAGTTGTTGTTGTTGCTGCTGTCATTTGTTGTCGTCACTCACTGTGAATGATTCACAATGTGTTTGGTGTCGTCATCGATAGCCGCGCGCGCAATTCAGCACATTTTGAATTGTATAACTGGGTATTTGATTTCATTTGTTCACATTTCTTGTTTTGTTCTTGCCTTCCGTCCTGCTCGCCCTCTCTCTCTCTCTCACTCTCACTCTCACTCTCGTCTAGTGCCAAGAACGCAAGAAAACCGAATCAAGTCACACACACAACACCAACCCAGGGGCCAGCACACAAATTGTTTATATCGCGCTCGCTGCTAATCGCGGCGTTTAGTTTGATTTGCACGGCAAGTGCAGGCGGGCGAATTGCGAGCCACAGGCGAAAGTCAACAGCTTTGAGTGTTGGCCGAGGTCGAGACAAGACTAGACAGGATAGAGTTAGGATAGGATAGGATAGAACCGAACCGGACCTGAACTGAGCTGATCTAATATATTGACAGCTATTGGCCAAGTTATTGGCCCAATTCGCTCGCATTGAGTACGAACTCTGCGCGTTTGTGTAGCTCAGCCCAGCAGAATGCATATCTATCTGGAAGATATCCTGCAGGTGCATCTGCTCAAGATTTGTAAGTCGCGTGCAGCGGGTGTTTGCTGTAGTGAATATATCATATTATATATATATATTGATGATTGATGTCTGCGCTCCTTTACTGTCAATTGCTATACATATTTAATCATTATTCTCCCTCTTCTCTCTCTCTCTCTCACAGATGACAACATGCAACGCTTTAACAGCAACAATACCAATACCAACAACCAAAACAACACCAACAGTGTCAACAGCAGCAGCAGCCAGCATAAGCGCTGCTCACAGAAATATAACATAGGCTCAGCCGCCGCCACAGCAGGCAATTATCAGCAGCAGCAACAGCAGCAGCAACAGCAACAGCAGCAACAGCAGCAGCAGCAGCAACAGCAGCAACAGCAATGCAACAACAGTCGCGCCGCACGCAAGGCACGCTACAATAACAAACGCCAGGAGACTCAAGGATCGAACGGCTCCTACAACATGCAGAAGCGCGCCAATGCAGCCGCAGTTGCTGCCGCCGCCGCTGCCGCAGTCGCTGGCAACACATCGTCCTGGCAACGCTATGTAAATTCTTCATGCATCGAAGGTGAGTCCAACAACAACAACAACAACAACAACAACAACAACAGCAGCAACTTGATCTGATTCATGCATATAAATTCGCTGTGCCGTTGTTTATAAGAATTCCGCGCAAATCGCACGCTCATTCACAATGATTCATCAGTCACAGTTGTCGTCGTCGTCGTCGCGACGTCATCGTCAGATTTCTCCAAAGTAACTTAATCAGCTGGCACACACACACACGCACAGATAGATAGATACGTGTGCATGTGTGTGCGTGTGTGTGTGTGCTCGTATCTTGAATCAAAAGCAACGCACTTAGAGCGCGCACTCACTTTAATTAGGGTCGACTTTCCAACGCCTTATTGGGTCACCCAGCCGCCCAAGCACAGTGCGCGTCATAAATATACATACAGTTAGAGCTCTGATCGAACGCTGATGATAGCCATAACAAAGCGAACAGGTTGAGCTAGCTTAGAACTAGACTCTATGAATCTTGCCTAATGTGGCTCAATATAGTCAAAGGTTTGCTCTGAGGTTTGATCTATTTGGGGCTCAGCCCAGCCATTGCCATTGCCAGCCCAGAGCTGACCATGTGCTCAATTGCAAATGGCTGTGGGAAAATCACAGCTGGAAAAACCGCAAGACAATGAAAACACAGCAGAAATACAAGTAAAAAACATTGCAAACGGGCGTTAACGACTGCAGCATACTCCTGCAGGGGCAAAAATGCTGGCAGATATGCCACGCCCCCAATTATATATTATATTATGATTTACATTATATATTCATAAGCCATCAACAATATTTTAGTCGTTCAATTTGGAGTAGAACTTATACAGTTCTTCGAATTTTCCCGTTTTGCCACACCCTCAATGGGCGTAAATATATCCACGATATTTTATTAACTTTGAGCTGTCAACGTGAGCAAATTTATTCCAAATTCAACTCTCAACTACCAAACTTTGTGAGATACCGGAATATGTATTTTTAAAATACTATTTTTCGATCAACCACGCCCTTAGTGGGCGAACAAACTTGATAATCTAACAATCGAGGTTATACTATATACGACTATCCATGCCAAATCAAAATGATTTGCATTCAGACAGACATTGCTCAAAACCAATATGCCCAATACACTTTCCTGAATGAGCATAACCAACAGAAATTGTAAAGCGCAGTTTTTTTTTTTTTTTTTCAACCTCACTCAATCAATTTCGTATTATTTATTCGCGCACTTATCTATATCGTGGCCAAACGAGGTGGCTATCGGAGCAATAACATTGCTTTTATGAGGGGCTCTTCAGACTAAACAACCGCCCCTAACAGCGGCCAGCCCCCTGCACTCACCTCTCTCGCACTCACGTTGAATTAAACTAGATTTGGGCTTAGTTTATATAACTAAGGAGAAGATTTCAAATCTTTAGCCGCAGGTCAAGTGAACGGAAGTTGCGTATGTTTAGCCAAGGATCTTTTTGCAAGACAATTGCACACACAAAACACACACGATCGGTATTTTGAGGTTAAGTATGAGGGTCTCTCTCTGTGATTCGCAAAAAAAACAAAAAAAAAAACTATTTCCAGACCTCGGTTGCGGTATTTCAATTTGCAATTGAAATGTAGAATCATAAATAAGAAAATTGCAGGAAATCTTCGCTTAAGCTTAACCGCAACAGCCTTAATGAAAGTCGCTGCACACACACAAACACATTAAGACACACACACATACATAGATTTCAGCCTCTTGCTCGACTTTCGCTTTCAAACAGAAAAATGTGCCACAGCCAAAAATCAATTAAAATTCATGAACATGAAAATGAAGAAATAGAAATAAAATATAAAAATAAAATATATATATATATATATAACTTCATTAGCTAAACAAATAAAGCAATTCACGCTGAGAAAGTATTTCATATGATTTAGTTTTTAGTTTCGGAAGCTGCGACAAGGCTGAAATAATAAAGTCCGAACTATAAAATACCCTGAACGTGAGGTGTGTACAGGGTGAAATATGATAGATAATTTCGTAGTTGTTCAGCCGTGTTGATAACGATAATGAACATGATCATGATGCAATTCGAAAATTTTGAATACAAATATTTGAACTGGGAATCATCTAAAAATATATTAAATGAATAAATGAATGAAATATGAAATAAAAATTAAAAAAAAAAAAACTAAGAATAATATATAATAAAATATATATAAATAACGAAAAATAAAGAAAATTAAAAAATTAAAAAAAAAAAAATACAATAGAAAATAAATAGAATAATCAGTAAAAAATTAATAAGCACATGCAAAACTTAAATTAGAAAATAAAAATAAAATGAAATAACTAAATAGCAAAATTATATAAACGATTAAAAAATATAAGCAAATATAAAAATGAAATAAATAAAAATAGATATATAAAAAAATTTATAATCAAAATGTATTAAATTGAAAAAAAAAAAAAAAAATTATTAATACAAATAAATACGAAAGCTGTGAATAATATTATTGCTCTGCGTGAGAACCATATGTGTGTGGGTTTTTTTATTTGTATTTATTTGTCATATATTTATATGTATAAACTTAATTTCAATATATGTATAAATATATATATACATATAACAAAAAACTAAAATTAATACTGAAATATAAACAAAAATTGAGCATGGAATTTGAATTCGTCAGCACGTAAAGCTGTAGCGGAGTTATGATAAGACTAATTGTTAAGACAGCGATATACGATATACATATTTATATATATATATGTATATACATCAGATATACATAAATATGTATATTTATAGCAAAACTACTCGAAACTATTTTCACATGGCATTTTCAATTATTTTCTATCATTTGTTTGGTAATTTATTTATATAAATATTTTGATTTTTTTATTTATTTTTTATTTTTTTTTTTTTTTTTGTGTTTCCAAAACTTTCCAGTGACATTTTTTTGTTGTGGTTGTTTTATTTTTGCCTTTGTGTTTGTTTTCTATTTTTTCCATTTGCTGTCGCTTGTAAAGCGTTGTTATGACACTTATTTATAGCAATGCCAACAACAAATTAAGACGCAATACTCGTCGAATCGTAGAATCGTCTGATTAGCGTTTCGATCTGTCAGATTTTGACACAAGCACAAAAAGCAACAACAACAAAAAAACTGACTGGCGCCTCTCTTTGTGGTTCTACTACCCCTACTTACCGCCCTATCTACCGCCCCCCCTCGTGCCTTCGTCATGCCCTACCTTCCAACCACCCACACGAACGGTGTTCCGTTCATATCTGGAATAAATGCCGCTTAAACGCCCTGAACTGATAGCCAAGTCAACAATCAGTTTGATTTCATTTGCCTCGCTCGGTCGTTACATAAGTTTAGTTCGTTTTATTTTTGTCATTGATTAGCACTTGGAGCAACCGCAGCTCTACTTCGACTCAAATCTAAAATGTATCATATATACATACACATATACATACATACATAAATATACAGTATTTTATGGTTTGCTAGAAAACCGTTTAAAATGTCATTTGTCATCAGCAAAACATTTATGGCGTCAGCCGATGCACGCATGCTTTATGAAAAGCATTGCCTGATACGCGAACTGGAACTAGTTCGAAACCCAATTGAACTACTGCATCTGCCCCGATGATGCACGAGTGGAATATTAGCAGGCATTGTTTTGAAAGCTGTGTTTGAATAGACAGGCATTATGGCTACGTTGTAAGCGAGAGCCTTAGAAGTATCTATTCAGCGTGAGCGTTGCCAGATTGCTGCTATAAATGCCAGAATAGAATAGAAGCCGAGAAAAAGTTGGGACTCAGCTGTTTTCTCTGTTTGAGAATAATATTATAGGCATCATATGATGTAGCCAACAACCTGATATAACTGGTATAGTTATAGCATACCATGAAATCTGCCGAAGCGTTGCCAGACTGATATATAGAAATATAGATATGGTATTAAGAACTTCTAATTCAGCGGATTCTTATTGGATTTCCTATGAAACTATACTATATAACCACAGCTCCTTGTGTAATATGCTCACGCGTTGCCAGACTGCTGATATATGCTAGAATACAAACTGGGAGATTACTCAATTGTTTCTTATTATAATCTATAAAAGCAACAAATTCAAATCTATAGCTGCTCTAGCTATACTGTGAAACCTGTCCAAGTGTTGCCAGATTATCATAAAGAACTTCTTATTGAATTGTCATGTATTTTTAGCTACATAGAAAATATGTTAACATAGCCGTTAGCTGAAAATTTGAAATGTGCCTGGTTCAAGCCAAAGGGTTGCCAGATGTCTAGTGGCTCACTTTCTCTTAGATAATCTGGCACTGGATCGTTAGCTAATAGAACATATAATAGCCTAATGATTCTCATATCATTTCTCACATCTCAGATCTCACATCCCACAGCCATAGAGACGCCTTGCCTTGCCAGCAGCTATACAGTTAAGGTGTTAAATTTAACTACATAGATAATTATCTGTTGTTATGTGTTCTGTTCATCACACCGAACTCTGCTCTGGACAACAACAGATAGAAGAAGTGAATGAAAAACAGTTCCTCTACATAAATGCGAAGGGGCCTTCTCGGCTTCCGATATTTAATCAAAATTCTGTTGAAAACAGAAAACAAAAAATTTGAGCTTAGGTTGCGCGTTATTAACTTATTGCGGTATGGCCAAGAAATTGCTGCAGCTGCTGCACACTTCACGCCTCGCTGCATCGCTTTAAGGTTAATGCGACGCTAAGCGAGAGGGGGAGGGGGAGGGGGCGGCAAGGGGTAGGGGCTTGGCTATGTAATCCGAAGATGGAGCAAAAAACTTGAACTCATTTCGTTGCCTTTTTAAGTGGCAGAGCGCAGACTTCAGACAAATGTTGACTGTGGAATGTGAAGAGTGGAGCGGCTAACGGTGTGGCATAGACACACACACACACACACACACACACACAATGACAATGAAGTTACGCCGAGTCTTCGCATTATTAACCTATTAAATGCTCTGGCACAGAAT